CAAAAGACAATAAATAATACTGTGAAATTTTGAGCACTTACTATCTTACATTGTTTCTCTAAAACATTTCATGAATTTTATCTTTTCAAAATATTTTTAAAAATATGGTCTCACTAGATTTTACTTTTTACACTTGTCTGGTAATCACTTCCTTTACATTAATTTGTTTTGGATCCCTCAATTAAGCTTAAGTTTTGCACACACCAAACAATTGATGATAAAATATTATTTGGTGCCAACAATAGAAATTCAAATTCATAGCTACCCATAATTTCTTGATGTAGATTATATTTTTTCGTTAGGTATTTAAATACACTTAAGTCTTTTTGAGCTCCATTGGGTACTTGATATTTGTTAGTGTTAGTAAGAAAAATGTACCATTATGCTGCTTAAATAATTCTTTCATTAAATATTGCTATTGTAATTGTTGAACATTAGTTAACAACACAGATACAAACATGGTACTCTCAAAAGTTTATTATGGTTAAGTTGTTTGATAGCGGACTACATTGTTGAAGTCTTAATAAGTTTCTTCTCATGCCATTCTGCAGAGCCTCTATTCAAAGGTACCAGCCTGTCAGATAACCAAATACTATTATGTAGGCTTTGCATACATGATGATGAGGAGATATGAGGATGCCATTCGAACTCTGTCAACTATCCTCTTGTACATACAACGTACTAAAACCATGTTCCAAAACAAAACACAGCTTTATGATCAGGTAAGCCATTTCATAATTAGGCAGGTATATTAAAAATATATTTGAGCTATTGCCAGACTGAAATGTGTTTTTTGCTATCATTGTTAGTTACACTGGGAAACTAAACAAAGAACTTACAAAGCCTCACAGTGCCAAACCTAATCAAAGTCTTATGGTGGGCAATTTGGTTATCAGTATTTGACACTTCACACATGTTAAAAAGAAATATACAGATAAGAAATGTTATTTTTCACGTTTTTTAAATATTTGTATGTATCTTTGTCTAAATGTTGACTATTTTTTTTGTTCAGATATCAAAAATGAATGACAAAATGTACACCTTGTTGTCAATATGTCTAGTTCTTTACCCCATGAGAATTGATGAAAGTGTGCACTCACATCTCAGGGAGAAATATCAAGACAAAATGAACAGGATGCAGAAAGGGTAAGCTTTGGGATACCTTAGACCAGGGATGGGCAAACTCTGGCCACATTTAGCCTGCCTGTTTATTAAGTTGTTTGACATGTACACCTTGTGATCATTTGTTGGATTAAGATTCTTGCTGTAGTTCTGAAAATTCTTCTAAATCAAGGTTGTCATTGGTTTTGTATTTTAGCTTACCTCTTACATAGTGTCATTCTGAAAGAAAATCTTTCTAAAGCTGCATTAAATATTGAGTATGTTATGGTCCATTGGTATAAATTGGTCAGATCATAGGCAAACGAATTCCTTCTTTTTCATAATTATTACTTTATAATAATTTATATTTGCAATAATTATGAATTATAAAACAATTATACTTAGACTTAGATCCTCCCACGCTGTTCGACCCATTGGGCGGCAAGCTGTCTCCACAAAGATCTGTCACTGGCAATATCTGAAGCATCTTCCCACCTGGTTTCCACTGCTCTGAAGTCCTCCATGAAAGTGTGGCTCAATGTTATAACAGGACGTCTCTGTTAGCACTTTCCTCTTAATGGCCTCCATGTCATTGCAACTCTTGGCATGAGTAATTCATTTTGTCGTGGAACATGTCCCACTAACCTCATGTAATGTTCTGTCACACCCTCACCAAGTGGTCAACTCCCAGTTCAGCATAGGATTTCCTTGTTTGAGACCCGATCACTATAACTAAAATCAGTCTTAGCCATCTTTGTTGAGCTACATTTAGTCTTTTCTATATGTCTTCCATGTCTCACATGCATATGTTGCTGTTGGGATGATGATTGTGTCAAGTAGGTGTATTTTGTCTCAAGTCCAATGGTTTGACTTGTCCAAATAAACTTCAGCTCCCTGCCTTTCCTATTCGGCGCGCTACAATATGGTTGGCATCCCCCCAACATTTGTTATGATGCTTTTTGAACTTGTCCATCTCTTCAAGCTCTGACTCACCAAGTCTACTGGGGGTACTGAACACAAAATATTTTAGTTTTATTGCCAACTGTAATGTGAACTTAATAGTAATGTTTTTATTCAGACTTTCATTAATTTTAATATTTTTATATATATAAATCTATATTCATAAATACAGTTTCTATTTTGCAATGTAGATTCACTATGTTGCCTTCCTTAGTAAACGTTTGCCCAACCCTGCCTTAGAATCGAAAACTTTTGCATTGCTTATATTAATTGCAATTTTTATAATTGATGCATTAGAAATGTTGTTATTCTTACTTTTTTTTTTTCATAATCTTAGTGAGAAACAAGAGTTTGAGACATCATTTTCTTTTGCCTGTCCCAAGTTCTTATCCCCTGTACCACCTAACTATGATTCAGATGGCTCTGTGACTATGTTTAAGGTACTCACTGTTGAATTATATTTTTTTATAGAATTTATTTTATTATAGTCTGTTTAACTAGGCTTATTTAAATTACTTTTAGTTGCTAAATATATTTGTATAGAAACAAAATACTTTCAATCCTGACATCTTCATTCATATATGTTGTCTCTGATTCAGGAGCCATACCAACTGCAGCTTTTGGTTTTTAAAGAAGAAGTAGAGCAACAGATTCTTATCCCTACTATTAGGAGGTAAATATTTGTTTCATTTCAAGTTAAAGGCTTTTCCACTTGGCATAATTTTTAATTGTTCTGCACAACATAAGTTTTGCACAACTGGCATGTCAGCAGGCTTAATTTCCCTGAAAGATCAATGCCCAGATAACATTATAGAAAATTCAGTGGCCAAGCAGATCATTGGTCAGAAGCTAACAATTGAAATTTGAAGAAAAAAAGTATTCTTCTGTCCAAAGAAAAAATTGTCCTCATTAGTTTCATTCCTCTAGTTTTGAAATGATTGAAATTATATTGGAAGAAACAATGAGGAGAAAGTTACATTATCTTATACTTGGTTGGGCATAATTGGCCATTATTCTAATAATCCAACAGATCAACTTGTCTAGTTTTGGGAGAGCTGAAATGTAAATTTTTCCTTGTTTTTCATAAATCATGCTGAAAATTCCGAATTTTAGTTGGGCTTATAAGGATCACTTTTCTCAGTATCATTCAAAAGCAGTCCTACTTGAGTAACTAAAGTTATAAAAGTATGTTTCAACTTTGGCATTATCCTTTTTCCTAACCACTAGGTTGGTTTTATTTTTGTTGCTACTTAAAATATTAAAATAACACCAGTGGGATTTATGTATAATCTAGACAAGTGATTTATTTAAGCATTGATAAGGTCACTTCTATAGAGCAATGACCTTAGTTATAGACTTGTTAGACTATTCTAGTGAACAAAATTGAATTAACATTTAATAACTAGGCCTAAAAATTTTTAAGTTTTTTTTTTCCTTTAAAAATAACTACATAATTTAGCCCAGCAGTATTCCTTCAATATTGTCTCATGGAGTAAGCAATAACCTTTATTATACCATAATTCTTGTGTAATTTGTCACTTTACTTTGAAAGTATTCAGTTATTAGTTTGTTACTGCCACCCACCATTTCAATATGTTCAAGTTTGAAGAGACTGAAAGAAGTAAAACATTACAGTAAATATTCATTTCAATATAATTTAAATTACTGAAAATAATAAACTATACTAAGAAAATTGTATTTATTTAGAGAGTATAATGTTCATAAAAATTAATTTGTGTTTAGTGTTTTTATTGTTGCTGTTCTGGGCTGAATTACTAAAAGTTAAAAAAAACAAGTCTGTGTGTCCCCTTTGCCAAGTTCTAGTTGTCATAATCTTGTTAAATTATAAGCAAATATGTGTGTCCTCAAGTTGTAGTTGGTGCAGTGTTGTTCAATTATTAAGTATTTAAGCATATGTTGGTTTGTTGTTGGTTTTTTTATCTTCTTGTTTGTTTTTTCCCAGTTACTTGAAGCTGTATACCACCATGCCAATTTCTAAACTGGCTGCCTTTATGGAAATGGTAATGATTGTATAATTACACCAGCGTGCTAGATACTCTAGTGTGTAAAAACTAGTTATTTAATACTTTTTGTATGCTCTTTAACCTTTTACATGTTTGTTTTTTTTTTTCTCTTTTCAGAATGAAGAAGAACTTTGTACTCAGCTTATGTGCTTTAAGGTAATGCCCCAAAAATCCACCAATTAAGAGTTGACTAGAACTTGTAAATATAAAGTATGTTTTTGTCAGTAATGTTGAACTGTTTTGTGACATCATTTTTATTTTAGCACAAGATGAAGAACCTTGTATGGACCAAAGGACCCAGTTGTTTAGAAGGAGAGTTCCAGTCAGCTTCAGAAGTAGACTTTTACATTGACAAGGTTTGTGTTTATTTTTAAAAACATTGAAAAATAAAGTGCTACATGTAATATCCATAGTATGAGATGTAAATGTATGTTGCACTTAAAATCTTGTTCCTTTTCAGACTATGATCCATATAGCAGACACCAAGGTAGCCAGACGTTATGGTGATTTCTTTATCAGACAGTTTCACAAGTTTGATGAGGTGAGGTGGCTTTTTATTTTTTTATAAACTAGTAGACTTGATGATGAATTTTCTAGACTGCTCTGTCATTATTTATGTAATCTTCAACTGATCATATTTAGATTTTTGGAAGAGTTAAAACATCTTCTTTGACTTATTATAACTGATCATTTATTATCAGTTTAAAAATGTAAAAAAAAAACATATTTTAAAAAAAAAATTTTTTTACAAATTTTTATTTTCTTTCTTGTAGATCATGCGCTCATTGAAGTCAGCCTAAGTGGTCATTTGATTGTTTCAATGTTCAAGAGTTTAATTATCATCTGAAGTGATTGTAACTTTAATTATAATGGTTTATTTTTAGATATTTGTGGCTTAAGGTAAATTGTCATTCCTTTGAAATTTTTTTTTTTTTTTTTTGTTGGGTATTAGTTACCACTACCACTTGTAAATCTCGTATTTATGATTTGTCTGTTGAACAACATGGAGGTCAAAGTGGAAGAAAGTGGTTGGAGAATCACAGGGATGGAGGGCTATTTTTGTGTGTGCATTATGTTTAACATTCAGTAATCATGTGTTTTGTCATAATGATTCTATTCATAGTTTATTATTGAACTGACTGTGCATGGAACTTCAATTAAAAACAGACTTATCAAAGTTTAACATTAGCAGCTGTTGACTTGTTGTTCTTTAGTCACTTTTGAATGCTCCACTTTGAGGAAACATTTATTATTTTGTAAGCAGGAATTAAAGGTATATATAATGAACCCATTCTTTATTAAGCTTCAGTGTTTAAATGAGCAAATAGCATATAAAGTCATCTTGTATTAAGTGTCTCATAGGTTACTATAAACTTGATTAAATTCAATTCCACATACACAAAGTTTTTATTATTCCATGCCTTGTGTATGAAACTTAAAGAAATGGTTTTTTAGCATTGCAAGTGTGTTTCACTTAATAAGCAAATGATTTTGTCACAAACAGTTTGCTAGCAGTAATTCATTTTGCAAATATCCCAACTGAATGTACTCATCATGACTGTCTGGAACAACATTTAAAAGTGGGAGCACAAAATGATTTGAACTGAACATTTGTTTCAATCTAGGACAAGGGAATAGAGAATGTGATGCCAACATCAAGTTCACTCCGCAGCATCCACATGTACAATTCTAGAATCAAATAGTGGTAGCAACACCTAGATAAACATTCTTTATTCCATATCAACATGACTAAAGAAATTTAGATAATATGAATCTCAACTAATGGTTTATTTGATGAATTTTTAAAAGGGTTTAGATGAGCTAATATTTTCCATCTTCGTTAAGAAATTTGACCAAAATTCACCACCATAGCATGTTTTTAAAAAATAAAATACATTTTCATAATAGAAGCTTCCTAATCCGCACATAACAATAAAACCGATACCGGAATCCCTCTAGGAACAGTTTTATTGCTCTCACGGTCATTAATTTTTTTCAAATTGTTGAATAGTGCTGGGGTTATCTTGCATCATTCCGAATGCATAGCCATCAACCAAGCGTGAAATTCTTCTCACGTCACCACACACTTCATAACACTGAGTCACATTTAGTCCTCTCAATTTTGGCAGATGACTTCCATATCTCGCATGCATACGTTGCACATGGGATAACGATTGTGTTATGCTGGTGGAGTTTTTGTCTAATAGCTTGGCTCGTCCAAATAGTCCAATTGCTTGGATTCCAAACCCAAGGTCCCGGGTTCGAATCCTTGTGAAGACTTTGATTTTTAATTTCTGGATCTTTGGCACCTCTGAGTTCACCCAGCTCTTGTATCGGTACCTGACATTAGTTGGGGAAAAGTACAGGCGGTTGGTCGTTGTGCTGGCCACATGACACCCTCATTCACCGTGGGCCTCAGAAACAGATGACTTTAGCATCATCTGCCATATAGATCGCAACGTCTGAAAGGGGAACTTTACTTTTTTCTTTGGCTTGTCCAAATAGTCCAATAACTTGGCTTGTCCAAATAGTCCTTCAGAAAATTATGGTAGACATTCACATGGTTTGCTATGATGTTGCCTAGGTACGTGAACTTGTCTAACTCGCCAAGTCTGACAAAGGCACTCCTTGCCTTTTAGCCCACTTTCACAAATTTATTTTTATCCTAGGTTATGCCTCCCTGTATAGGCTGTTCGCCATTTCTTGTAAGCATTTACTGGTAGACCCGAGAAGTGCAACGTCGTCAGTGAAGTCAAATATTCTGTTCACGCCATGGAATATCGAAGGCAGTCTTGATTCATTGCTCTCTTCATTCTGTAGTCGATGGCTAGGAGGAAGGGAGACAAGATGCAGTCCTGTCTCGCACCTTTCTCGATGCTAAAGAACTTTGCTTTTCCTTCTTTTTTAATGCAGCAACTAGATTGACTGAACATATCTCGTTGGATCTGGACGAATTTTTCAGGTACCACAATGTCATATTCTCTAATTGCCATAGTGATTCTCGATAGACACTATCAAACGCTTTCTTAAAGTCTACGGAACTGATCATTAGCCTTGGTAATCGAGACTTTGATGTAAGATAATTCGTAAAACGAAGATGTGCTCCGCTCAACATGTCTTTTCAGAAGCCTGCTTGCTCTTATCTGAGCTCCTTCAGTTGTTGCAATTTGCCCTTTAATAGGAAGCTTTACAATCATCGATTTTGCCAGTCCTCAGGGAGTTAACCAAGTAACAATAAATCAAAGCGGATTGAAAGTGGATTAAAAAGAAAAGCCAAGCCTACCCTCTTGCAAAGACTCCGATAAACATTAATTTGATTACCAGAACCAAATAAGAGCATATCATATTTTTGAATAAAAAGTATAAACTTTTTTTTTCAAATTAAAAATATAAAACAGAAAAGAGAAAATTTTTTTTTTTTCAGTTTTTTTGTCTTAGCCTGAGAATGTTTCAATCAGACCAACATCGAGTCATGGAGACATAAACACAAGGACGTGTCCATGAGCAAAAGCTGCATTCACAGACCTGGTTTCATGCGAGACTTGGCTTTGGCAGACTTCGATCAACTTATAGAAGTCGGTCTGGGAATATTATAATCAACGATCAATGCTTTTTTTCTTTAATTCAAAACCACCGAAGCTCTTAATGTAATCTTGAGAAGCTATAATTAGCTAATTGGCTTCTATATTTGACCATGAGCACAAAACACACATTATCTTCACACTAGAAAATGTTTCTTTTTTTTCTATGAACATTATATCGAGAGAATAAAGCTTGCCTATTTTAATTTCTTTATCTGCTACAGATGTAGCAGATAAAAATGTCAAGTTTGCGTCCTATATTATGACCCTAGAGCAGTGCTTCCAAAACTGTTCCGCGAAACCCTAGTGTTCTGCGAGGCCTGAAATACTGGAATAATTATCTAGTAGACCACCACGTCAATTAATCTCTCTAATAAGCAAATTATAAAAAATCATTTAAAGAGTTTATCTAATGGAAAGAACTCCGCGCTTACAACTATCTCTTTATAATGTAGAAGTTTCTTACAAAATCATTAATTTCCAATAATTAATTGACAAATTGGTTATTTTTCAATGGATTCATGTTTTGTTAGGTTCAATAAATAATTGTTATAATAATAATAATCTTTATTGTCCGTATGGAAATTTGTCTTACAATTTGTTCATTACACCAAACAAAAAACAAGAAACCAAAGTGTACATTCACCCTGCCTCCGTGTCGTTTACATGTGACAAAGTTTATACCAGATTGTTCTTATTTAATGATCATAGAATGTGTGTGGTAGAAATAACGTGTTAAATTATCTAATGGGATGAAACCCTACATATTTAACGTATCACTGAATACAGAAGGATTAATTTCCCTTTTTGGTATCAAACAAAAATTAATTACTAATAATTAATTTACTGATTGGTTAAGTTTTTTTAATTGATTCTTCATTCATGTCTTGTCTATGCCAATGAATAATTGTGCAAAGTTTTAACTTGATCCGAGAATGGGTGTGAGAGAAATAACGTGTACACACTTTGTACCAGACAGACAGACATGGGGAATTGATATAAGCTTTGTAAAAAAAAATGCAAAGTGTTCCTCTAAATACTAAGAATGTGCGATGTGTTACGTTATTAAAAAGTTTGTGAAACACTGCCCAGAGCAAAGCTAGGAATGGGAGATTGTCTCTTTACCGACTTCTCTGTGATTCTAAATGATTATTTCTTCACATCCGTTTCTTAAGAAAACTTCGTAATCCTACAATATACACACTATCAAAAAAAGAAGCCGACCACAAAAGCGTGGTGGATTAGCGCTTTTTTTTATAGTCTCAATTTTTTTTTTTATAAAATATCAGTATGAGTAAAGGTTGGATAAAGGTGACTAGGAGAACTCATCTCAATTGCTACTCTTATAATGAAACATTTCGTATGAATACTACATTTTCCAAAACAAAGTCTTTCTAAAAATAACTAAGATAAATTCGTGTGCAATTACATAAACTCTGTCGCCATATTTGACTATTTTGTTTTATAACGTCATGTTTTCGTCTGGAAAGGGGAGAGGGCGGTAGAGTGAAAACGTTAATCCTCCTTCTTTTTTTATAATTTCTGCTAATGATAGTATTTGGCATTCTTATCTTATCTTAAATAATACAGACGTTACTTCAAAAAAGAAGATTACGTCCTACGCGTCATGCATATTAACCAATGACTTAAATTCTGCCAAGTCCCTGGTTTTCCTGGCTAGCTCAGGCAACCCTTTCCATGCTCTAATAGCACTAGGGAAGAAGGAGTATTTGTACACATTTGTCCTAGCATATGGTACGACGAATGTGCCTTTATCTTTGTGTCTTTCAGAGTATTTTATTAAATTTTGTTTTTGTATTTGAAGATTATGGTTCAGTGTTTTATGTATAATTGCTACTTTACTTTTGAGTCTTCTGTCCCGAAGGCTTTCTAAATTTAGTGATTTTACTATAGGTGTTACTCTAGTCAAATGTGAATATTCATTTGTTATGAATCTCACTGCTCTATTTTGTGTCTGTTCCAGTTTCTTAATGTTTTCTTGAGTTGAGGGGTCCCAAACGGAGGATGCATATTCTATTATTGGCCTAACCAAGGTTAAATAACATTTTAGTTTTATGTTTTTATTTGATTTATAGAAATTTCTTTTAATAAACCCTAATGCTTTGTTTGATTTTTTTGTAGTTTCATCAATATGTGGATTCCATGACAGTTTTTCATTTATTATAACACGTAGGTATTTTGCGTTTTTAGTCTGTGTTACTGGTTTGCCCTGAATAAGATAAGTGGAATTAATTTGTTTTAGTTTTTTTGTTACTCTTAACAACTGCCATTTTTCTGGGTGGAAAGACATGCTCCAATTTGATTCCCATTTCTGTAATTCATCTAATTCTCTTTGTAAAATATCTGTGTCTTGTGTTGTTTTTATTGTTCTATATATTATGCAATCGTCTGCAAATAATCTGACTTTTGTTCCTGAAGTAATGCAATTTGGTAAATCATTTATGTAAATTAAAAATAGTAGTGGACCCAAGACTGTTCCATGAGGTACACTTGAGTTTACTGTTATCGGTGTTGATTTAGAGCCATTTATAATTACAGTTTGTTCTCTCCCTATCAGAAAATCTTTAATCCACTGATGCAGTGGACCATTTATGATAAAATATTTTAATTTTTTAAGCAAACTATGGTGGTGAACTTTGTCAAAAGCCTTAGAAAAATCTAGTAAGATAGCATCTATTTGTTCACTATTATCTAAACCTTTAGAAAAATCATCAATTAGTCCTATTAGTTGTGTTTCACTCATTTAATAATAGGGGGTGGGGCGACTCGATATAAGAATTTAATTTATAGCTT